AATAGGAATAGGAATAGGAATAGGAATAGGAATAGGAATAGGAATAGAATAGAATAGAATAGAATAGAATAGAATAGAATAGAATAGAATAGAATAGAATATAGAAGAATGGAACAGAATATAGAATAGAGTAGAATTAATAGAATAGAAATAGAAATAATAGAAATAGAAATAGAAAGGGAAGGGAAGGAATGAAATTAGAAATAGAAATGAATGCAATAGAATAGAATCGAACATAGAATAGAATATAGAATAGAATATAGAATAGAAGAATGGAATAGAACAATAATGGTGAACTTTTTTGGCACAGAGTGCCCAAACCAGAATGTGCATGCATGCACATCCATGTGCATGTTCCGAAGCACCAGAAACCTAAAGACCAGCTGGCTGGTGCATGCATGCTTGTTTTTTGGTGGTTTGGGGCCCGTTTTTTGGGCTGTTTTCAGGCCATTTTCCCATGCTCTGGCTCTTGCGAACTCCAGTGGGCGGTGTGCATGTGCACACCAGAAACCAGGAGAGCATCTGGCAACAGCACACGTGCCCACAGAGAAGGGTCTGACTGCCACCTCTGGCACAAGTGCCATAGGTTTGCCATCACAGGAATAGAATATAGAATAGAATTAATAGAGCAGAAATAGATATAATAGAAAGGAATGGAGCTGAGTGGAGTGGAGTGAGTGGAGTGGAGTAGAATACAACACTTGAAAGGGACCTTGTAGGTCATCTAGTTCAACCCTCTGCCCAAGCTGGAGACCCTACTGTCATGTACACCGATCGTAAAGGAGACGCGAGACTCAGTGACTTTTAAGCTCTTTTATTTCGTTCTGAGATCGGCTTGCTTCTTCGGATCGGTGGCGGCTTATATTGAACTTGCCTTGCCAGCCGCGGCCAATGACACCGCTTCGAATCTCCCGCGATCGGTTTCCTCCAATCGCGGGAGATTCGCAACGGGCCAATCAGCGCGGCTTGCTCAGCCAATCCGAGTGCCGTGCGTCCTGGCCAATCAGGACGGGGTTTTACAAGAATGCTAATGTGCAATACAGAACCCCTACACCATTTTTAATGACAGATGGCAGTCCAGTCTCTTCTTGAAAGTTTCCAGTGATGAAGCTCCCACAACATCTGAAGGCAACTTTCGTTCCATTGGTTGATTGTTCTCATTGTCAGAAAATTCCTCCTTATTTCTAGGTTGAATCTCTCCTTGATCAGTTTCCATCCATTATTCCTTGTCTGGCCTTCGGGTGCCTTGGAGAATAGCTTGACCCCCTCCTCTCTGTGACCACCCTGCCTTCTGTGAATAAAAATGTTAAACGTATTTGTTCATATAAAACTACAGGTATGTGTCAGTGTCTATGACCTCATTTGGACACCTACCACGCAATTCCTTGACAATAGTGCTGTTTTGTTTTGTGTGTGTTTTTGTTCTGCCTTCTGGTCCACTGCATCCACATCCTCTTCTTCATCCACATCCTCTTCCTCGCTGCTCTCTGAGTCGCTCCGTGCATCCTTTACTATCTACAACAGAGAAACAGAGATGTCACCTCTCTTCAATCCTGCTCAATTAGAGTCCATCAGAGGGCAAAAAACCTTTTGGGGACACACAACTGGCCTTTTCCATTGGAGATGCTTATCTTTTGTACAACCAAAGGGCCATGCTATGTTTTGCATGGCATACAGGCAAGTCCATGGCTCTTTAGAAGAAGGGGCTTCAACATGTTAAAGAGGCCATTATTAATGGCAACTTTGCATAAATAAACTTATATAAAATGTTTTATTGATGGCATTGACCACTGGCTAAAATCTTTAAAAATATGTCTAGCAAATGTTGGAAATGGAATAAAAAAACAGGCACATATTATATATGGTGGACTTGTAGTAAACCAAAAAAACTGGGAGAAATACATAAATGGCTAGAAAAGATTATTGGAAAGCATGTAGATTTTAAACCTAATGAATAGACATAATTAATTTATTAGGGATAGTTTTATGAGGTATAATATCAGGTAAACCTAATAAGAAAAGTATGTATTTAATATTGCACAACTTGACAGCAGTGAGAGTTGTATTTGCGCAATGCTGGAAAAATGAAGTAACACCACGAGTTGAAGAAATAATTAAGAAGATTCTAGAATGTGCAGAAATGTAAAGACTGACATTAAAAATTAAACAGAAAGAACGTACAGAATATTATCAAATATGGAATCTATTTTATCAGTGATTGGAAAAAAGAGGTGGAGATTAAGAACGTGATATGTAAAATTCAATACCCAGACAACACGATGTGTATTAAGCACTAACAAATGTAATTAATACAAAAATTAATTTAAAAATGTTTAAGAGGCCTTGGGGGCTTGAACCCCCTGCAAGCTCAAGATATCCATGTTATCTCTGGTACCTCTTCAAAAACCCAATCCATAGTCCTTCTCCTCTCCTTAAGCTCTGGGGTTGAGAGGGTCAGAGTTGAACTCCCACTTGAACACAGCCAGAGTCTGGATTGTACATTTTGGGGGCCCATTTTCTATCATGAAAATGAAGGTGGGTGGCCCCCCACCATAGCAAATTGCCAGAGGGTCCTGAAATTGAGATGCTGCAGCATAGAGTCTTTTCGGTGACCCTGAAAACTTTCCGAAGAGTTTTAGAATTTTAGTGTGCTTGCTTGACTGTTGTAGATGGGAGGGGGACAGGGTCCCTTATTTTGATATTCCTCCCCCTACAAAAAAAAACCCTGGGGGTTAGGATTTTCAGGTTGTGTTCAGCGGTGACAATGGGGCACTAGGTGTTATGGTGGGTTTCATCCAGGGATGGTATTCAGGAGGTTCAGACCGGTTTGGGAAATTTAAGTGGTTCGTAGAACCGGTAGGGAAAATTTTCACTGGCCCCGCCTACCTGGCCCCACTCTTACCTCTCACCTCTCCTATATTCTGTTGTTTATTAGCTCAGCTTATTTGCCAGAATGCAAAAGGGGGCTGCTGTGAATTGTTTAATGGACTGGTAATTGTCAAAATGGACTGCTAAATTGGGCCACGCCCACCCAGTCACATGACCAATAAGCCATGCCCACCAAGCCACACCCACAGAACCAGTAGTAAAAAAAATTGAATCCCACCACTGGTTTGATCCCATGTCCTTTCCCACTGCCATTATAAGGCCACCATTTAGGAGTGTATGGTAACGTAAGTGTTTGTGTCTAAAAGTCTATTTTGGCTAGGGAGCATGGTTGAACATATGTGGTTTCTTCCATTCCAATTCTCACCCGCCTATCACAGATGCAAGCAGAGCTCAGGAATCTTGCATCAGACTCAACATGGAATAAAAACAAACATGGAGCAGGGTTAAACGAAAGTACCATATTTTTTGGACTATAACACGCACCGGACCATAAGACACACCAAAGTTTAGAGGAGGAAAACAAGGAAAAATATAGTTTTTTGCTTCCATGGGTCCCATTTTCGACCTCCCCGGTGTCAGGGAGGCCAAAAAATGGGACACACAGTGGCTTTGGGAGGCCCAGAATGGACCCGTATTTGCTCTTTAAGATGGACAGACATTTCAACCCACATTTTTGGGTGGAAGTGCATCTTATAGTCTGAAAAATATGGTAATTGGTGGTCTTCTGCCCCCTCCCCAACATGTGCCTTCTGTTCCTATGTGCCCAATTCACAAGTGCCCAATTACTGCCCTTACCTTGCCATGGATCAGGAACCTATAAAGCATGAGGATGACCACGCAGCACCAGAGAACATTGAGAACATACATGAGCGTCAGGAGGGCATTGAAGAAGTAGTAGCCAAAATAAGGCTCATGGACCTCTGCCGAATGGTACAATGTGCTGTAGAGAATCCTTGAGGAGGGAGAGGGGATGGAAAAAGAAAGAGGAATATGGATTATCTCTACTTTTCAAGGCTGAGATAACTAATGGCGTTAGGAATTCAGGATATCCATTAGGGCTTCAAAACAAGAACAGATGATCTGAATGGCTTTAGCCAGAATTGATTAAAATGGAAGTATTTTAATAGAGAATAACAGTGATATAGAATGGAATGGAATGGAATGGAATGGAATGGAACGGAAGAGAAGGGAAGGGAAGGGAAGGGAGGGAAGGGAAGGGAAGAGAAGGGAAGAGAGAGTAGAGTAGAGTAGAGGAGAGGAGAGGAGAGGAGAGGAGAGGAGAAGAGTTGGAAGGGAACTTGGAAGTCTTCTAGTCCAACCCCCTGCTTAGGCAGGAAATGGACGTTACTTCCCAATTCTGGAAGTTTGATGGGTTACATGCAGATTGAAACTTCTACTTGTTTACAGCAGTTACAAGCTGAGATAGAACATAGAATAATAGGCTTGGAAGGCATCTTGGAGGTAATCTAGCCCAGCCTCTGCTTGAGCAGGAGATTCTATACCATTTCAGACTTTCAGACAAATGGCCACCCAGTCTCTTCTTGAAAGCCTCCAGTGATGGAGCACCCACAACTTCCGACAGCAAGCTATTCCATCGGATGATTGCTTTCACTGTTAGAAAATTTCTCCTTAGTTCTATGAATGCTTGTCTCCTTAGTTAGTTTCCATCCATTGTTTCTTGCCTTGCCTTTTGGTGCTTTGGAAAATAGTTTGGCACCCTCCCCATCTTTGAAAGAGCCCCTCGAATATTGGAAGACTGCTATCATGTCACCCCTAGTCCTTGTTTTCTCTAGAATAGACATATCCAAATCCTGCAACTGTTCTTCGTATATTTTAACTTGCAGCCCCCTAGTCATTCTTGTTGCTTTTCTCTGCACCCTCTCCAGAGTCTCAACATCTTCTTTACATTGTGGTGACCCAAACTGGATGCAGAATTCCAAGTATGGCTGTAATAAGGCTTTTTAAACTGGTTCTAACAAAGCCTTACTACAGCCACACTTGGAATACTGCATCCAGTTCTGGTCATCACAATATGACAAAAAAACATGTCCCAAAGATGTGAGGAGAAATGTCACAAAAAGATGGCACTGCAATTGTGCTGTCAAATTCCCGCCCTTTTTGCATGCATTCCTGAAACATACTTGTAAGGAAAAACGATGGCACGATTAAAGAGGAATACCACTGAGAAAATGATAAAGAGTGTGTTGCAGGTTTTCTGCCACTTCAGGTATTTAAACACCTTTGCAGCCTGGGGAAAAAGAGAGAAAAAGAAACAGTAACTGTTGATATCTATGGAGATTCTCGGTCATCCAGGTCATGGCTGTCCCAAAAGTTTTTGTTTTTTTCAAGAGGCAACTGGACTTTCTGGTTTTGCTTGGAAGATGTTTTATTTCTCATCCAAGAAGCTTGTTCAGTTATGGATGGTGAGGAATGGAAGGATTTATACTCCTTGCAAACAGCTGGTCATTTGCATCCTTTTAGCAAGTTGTTGAGGCTCCTTAAAGGTTGAGCCACTTGGCTGCACCCAAGAAAGCTCCACAAAAATTTGGATTACTCAGTTGAGGACACAGAAAAACATCCAGGTGGGCTTAATGACTCACTAAAAGAATGCAAATGACCAGCTGTCTGCAAGGAGTATAAATCCTTCCATTCCCCACCATCCAGTGAGAGCTGAAGAAGCTTCCTTTATAGAAGTGAAACATCTTCAAAGAAAAATCAGAAAGTCCAGCTGCCTCTTGAAAAAGCACCTTTAGGACAAAAATTGTTGAGTGGCTGAGGCTCCTGTTGTGAGAACACTTAGCTTTCAGAATATGGTGGCACATTTCTGTGAGTTTAAGATGTACGACCTGTATTCTATCTCCCACCGGGATCCTGGGAATTGTAGTTTGCAGAATACAAAAATGAGAAACCTGGACCAGCTTGCAAGCAAAGCCTGATGGGAATATCTTAGTCACCCACAAGTGAGGGTTAGCTCATTTCCAAATATTTTGTGTTGAATACAGAACAAATGTGCTTTCAAATTCAAAACAAATTCAAACAATTTCAGCCCCCATTTTTTTTTCAGGCTGCTTCTTTCTCTGAATTATTATTTTCTCAACCTTCAAACAAGCCTTTCAGATTGGGACTATGACATCAATTATTTAGCTGGTCCCAACACATCTGGCAAGCAAGAGAAGGCTGGTATAGATTTCTAGATTTATGTATTTCCTCTTTTCAAAAAACATGGAGGAGTGTGTATTTTTTTGTGTTTTAAAGAGGGGAAGGGGAAGAATGTATTCATTTTTTATCTTAGGGTAGAGGAAGAGTGTTCCTGAGCTTTAACTTACATACAGCAGACTATCGGAAGTATTGTTCACGGCTATGACAAGTGAACCGATAGGGATGAAATTGATGCAATAGGAGAAGCCAATGAGCAAGATGGAGATCACATGGTGGATCATCATCGCATTAAAATCCTGCAGGAAGATGAGATAACTGGATTATTGATTTGCAGCTCCTCCAGGGGGCCCATTATGGGGAAGGGGTTTTGAGTGGAAGTAGACAATGTTGAGTTCTGCTGAGTCATTGTTTCAGAAATATTTCCTTAACTTTGAGAATCTTGTGAAGAGTATTGGAAATCCTTCTTTTCCTTCCCTTCCCTCACTTTCTACCTTCCCCTTCCCAGCAAATAGCTATCTGGCTGTTGCTGGGTACAGGAATGTAGCAAGGGATTGTGAGACTGGCTGGGAAACTGTCACACAAAATTGAAAAGGAAGATCATATATTCTCATTAACAGCACAGCAGTGCAGCAGCAGCCAGGAGCTCTGAAGCAGGGAGAAGTTCATTGCTTCCATATGTTAGCCCATTTGAGGTACCCCGGTTCAAAAATTGTTGCCCTATGATGTACTTAAAGGTCATACTGACAAGAATGTTTGTAGCATATAGTTTTGCATCTTAAGGTGCACCAAACTAGCATCCTTGTTTTGTTTTTGTTTCACCTTTCGCATCTCTTCTGCCAGAGCTTACTCACCTTCTGTTTGACGTCAAAAGGCGCTGTGATGACCAAGGACCAGTAGAAGGAGAACTGCAGGAGGTAGTAGCCATAAAGGCTTGGATGGAGAGGCTGCAATGAATGAATGAAGAGAAATGGTGTCATGTAATCCCAATTCTCAGCTTCCCAAGTGAAGACAATACCTTAGTAATGTGTTCGTGGTGGTTGGAGCATTCTAGGAGTTGAAGTGCACATGTCCGAAAGTTGTCAAGTTTGAGAAATACTGTGCTAGCGAGCCCCCACGTGCAAGGGGCTTTTCTTAACATTTCGTGGCTGAAAAGGATCTATCCAGACCCATTTCTTTTTGTCCTGCCCTCAGGTGCTGTAGAGAATAAATCTACCCTGTGACAGCCCTTCTAGTCCTGGTAGACTGTTTTCAAGTCTCCCATCAGCATTCTCTTCATTAGCCTAAACCAGGGGTGTCAAACTCAAGCCCCATGGGGCCCATGGGACTGCCCTGGAAACAGTGAAATACTGGCCGTGGAGCCTCTGCCAGCAAAAACAGAGCTCAGGAGGGCTGGCAGAGAATTGCAGGAGGCCATCACAGCCAGAAATGGAGCTTGGGAGCCCGTTTTTGCTGATAGAGTGCTCGAGCCACCACAGGTGCCCCTGTCATGAGTGACATTGAGCTGGTCATGCCTACTCCAGCCCCCAAGATCAAACACACTCCTGATGTGGCCCACAATGTAATCAAGTATGACAACACTGGCCTAAACATATATACAGTAGTTCCATTAGTCATTCATCATGCAATTTATCCTCTGGACTCCATGTCATCTTTGTTGCTCTTCTCTCACTTTTTCTAGGGCTTCAACATATTTTTGGCATCATGGTAACCAGAATCAGACATGGTATCCTGAATGTTAGCAATTCCCCCCATTTTAGTGGCATTCCAAAATTTGATGAGCACCCCTTTGACATCCTCATCTAGGCGATTGATGAAGAAGTTGAAGAGCACTGAGACCAAGACACTATTTTGAGGTGCCACCATTGCATGGTTCTCTCTATCTAGACATTGTTCCATTGAGGACCACTTGCTGAATGTGGTTGGTCAGCCAACTGCAAATCCATCTGGTAGTGATACTGTCTATCCCACATTGTTCTACCTTAACAAGGAGGAGATGATACTACATTAGAATAACAGAGTTGGAAGGGACCTTGGAGTCTTCTAGTCCAACCCTCTGCTTAGGTAGGAAACCCTATACCATTTTAGACAAATGGTTATCCAATCTCTTCTTAAAAACTTCCAGTGTTGGAGCATTTACAATTTCTGGAGGCAAGTTGTTCCACTGATTAATTGTTCTAACTGTCAGGACATTTTTCCTAAGTTCATTCTGTCTATCAATTTGTCACAGAATTCTTTGTTCAACCATGCTGATCTCATTTTGAGTTCCTTGTTTCTCTTTCTCTGTGGCATTGGTTTTGTTTGGGCTTTTTTACTTTGTTTTTGCAAATTTCCCAAGTACCATGAATTGGTTTTCACTCTATAATGTCCATCCATGGAATCCTTTCTCTTGTCTTTTTTAGTTTGTTAAAATCAGCTAACTAGTCTTTGTTCTATTACTTGTGCCTGCATTATCATTCCTATTCATTTTAATTAAGTCTAATATAGTTGTCACTCTAGTTCCCTCCTCCATCTTTTGGATGATAAATTTGTTAGCTAGGAAAGTTAGAAAAGTCCAATGATTTTGCCCAGGGCATGCTGAGAATTTCCTTACACTTGGCCTCATGTGGTATTTCTTATTGCTGCTTAATCACTTCCTTTTCAGCTTCAAGAACAGGAAAGAATTTAATTCCTAAAGCTTGGATGAATGTCATGTTTCGAAAGTCAGGGCAGGATGGATTGCACTTTCATATTATTTTTGCAAAAGGAATTGATGCACATTTTCCCCTTGAAATGTTCATTCAAATGTCTTCTGGTGTCTTACCTTCAGTGGGTACCCAACCCAACATTCGCGAGTGTTCCAGAACCAGGGTTTCTGCAAGAAGAAATTGTTCATTAGGAATCGCATCATACCAGCCCACCGACACTCCTTTAGACCCGACATGAAGAGGACAATGGAAGGAAAAGGAGATTACAAAGCAACTTTAGTCACTAAGATATTTGGAAAGAGTTCAAAAATGGACCCACTTTTGCTCATCAAAAAAGTATAATTACATGTTAGGAAGTGGGAGGCAGAGAAGGTCACACCCAGTAATATACATGACTAGGTTTTTTTTTTACAATGACCAACAGAAGTAGGTAAAGTTGGCACTCACATTGTAAAGGACAGCCAATGTCATGAAGAGGTAAGTAAGGGAGTTCACGGCTCTCCAGCTGGAAAACAATCAGAAAAAACACATCAGGGTAATTGGAAACAGCAGGGGTGGGATTCTACCGGTCCGTACCAGTTTGGTAGAACCAGGTGTTACGTTCTCCGGTAGTTCGGAGAACTGGTAAATCGACCTGTGCTCGCTCTCTGCCTGCTTCTCCTCTCCCTGCCCAGTCAGTCCCTATCGCACATGCGCAATATCATGCACATGCACGACATGCCTGCAGCCTGCTTTTGCCTGCCCACCAGGCCGGCCATTTTTGCCTGCCTTTCGCTGCAGCAGAGCGAAAAGCTTGCAAGTCCCCCTCCCTTCAGAAATAGCTCCTGGGCTGCAGAGAAGCCGCCCAGTTGAATCCTGTTTCTCTCTGGAAAGTCCAGTTGACTCTTTAAAAAACCACCTTTGGGACCCAACAGATGTGCTCTTTGACAACCTAATTGGGCCCTCCACTGGTTTGGAGGCCAAAACACATTGGTACCAGTATTGTAAAGATGCTGAAGGGGGATGCTTTCCTTTGCATCACACAAATTGTCTTTTTTAAATATAATTTTAATAAACTTTCCAAAATATAAAATGAAAATGAAAATAGTGGAAAAATGGTGAAGGGAAAAAAGAGAAAGAAGTGACTTTGGATAGGTCCAATGTTCAATTATCTCAAGAATTTTCTCGATCTTGAACCTATCTTCTAAAGTTTTTGCTATTCCCAATAGCTTGTTGTCGTGTGCAAATTTCATGAGTTCCCCATCTTTTCCCTCATCTAAAGCATTGATGGTGATGTCAAAAAATACTGGACCCAAGAAAGAACCTTGGGGAACTGGACTGCATACTTCCCTCTGATGTAGTTCCATTGAGGACTAAATGTTGAATGTGGTGTATCAGCCAGTTACAAATCCTTCTGATGAAAATGATGTCTATTCCACATTTTTCTCTCTTATCAAGTAGTAGGTTGTGGTCTACTTTGTCAAATACTTTATTGAGGACCTAGCATACTATGCCCACAGCATTTTGCTGGTCCAATAATTTAGTAATTTTATCAAAGAATGCAATAAGTTTTGTTTGGCATAATATGTTTTTGACAAACACATGTTGGTATCTAGTTATAACTTCGCTTGCCTCTACCATGTTTCTCATAAAATAAGGCCGGGTCTTATATTTTTTTGAGCCCTGAAAAAACAGCTAGGCTGTCTTTTCGGGGGTGACTTAATTCCCCCCCTTGCATCCTCATCTAGAGCGCCCCGCGGATAGCCTCGCCACCAGCCGCTCCTAACGGGTGATCATGGTGAAGCTCAGAGAGCTCCCTACTCCCACCAAACACCTTTGCTGCAGACCCAAGACCTTTGGCACCCGCCGCTGTTGCTTTCCCTTCTGCCCATTACGCTGCCACATTTGGAGCTGCCGCTTCCGTGTTTGGAGTGCCGCTGCCATTTGAAGTGTCACTGCCATTTGGAGCACCGCTGCCACGTTTGGAGCTGCCGCTTCCATGTTTGGAGTGCTGCTGCCATTTGGAGTGCCGCTGCCATTTGGAGCACCACCGCCACGTTTGGAGCTGCTACTTCCGTGTTTGGAGTGCCACTGCTATTTGGAGTGCTGCCACCATTTGGAGCACCACCATCATGTTTGGAGCTGCCACTTCCGTGTTTGGAGCTGCCGGTGCGTTTGGAGTGGTGGCGGCACTCCAAATGGCGGTGGTGCTCCAAACAGCAGCAGTGCTCCAAACACGGAAGCAGCAGCTCCAAACGTGGCAGCAGCTCCAAATGCAGACATGGCAACTCCAAACAGCGGCAGTGCTCCAAACAGCGGTGGGGTTCCAAATGTGGAAGCGGCAGCTCCAAATGCAGCGGCAGCTCCAAATGCGGAAGCAGCAGCTCCAAACAGCAGCAGTGCTCCAAACGGTGGCAGCACTCCAAATGTGGAAGCGGCAGCTCCAAACGCAGCAACAGCTCCAAATGCAGAAGCGGCAGCTCCAAACAGCAGCGGTGCTCCAAACAGCAGTGGTGCTCCAAACGTGGAAGTGGCAGCTCCAAACGCAGCGACGGCATGGGCAGAAGGGAAATCAACAGCGGTGGGCATTGAAGGTCTTGGGTCTGCCGCAAAGGTGCTTGGCAGGAGTAGGGAGCTCTCCACGCTCTGCCATGATTGCCCATTAGGAGGAGCTGGTGGCGAGGAATTGCTGCCCCCAGGGCGCTCTTAACGGCAAGTCCCCCCGCCCTTCCCCCCATTTTGCATGTTTTAAAATAGGCCTAAATTTGGGGGGAGGGGCTTAATTTCATTTATGCCTAGAAAACATGCTGGGTCTTCCTATTGGGGGAGGTCGTATTGTTGGAGAAACACGGTAGATGTTCCCTGATTTGTTGCCTGATATTCTTTTACAGGATCTTCACAGTTATTGAGGTCAGACTGATAGATCTGTAATTTCCTGGATCCATTTTTTCCTCCTTTTTTGAAGATGGGAATCTCACCAGCACTTTTCCAAATCCTTTGGTAATTCCCCAATGTTCTAGGATCTTTGAAGATATAGTTCAGTGATTCTGAGATCACATCTTCCAGCTCCTTCAGAATTCTGGTATGTAAACCATCTGGTCCTGGTGATTTGAACTCATCTAGAGTGGACAAGTATTTCTTAACATTTCTTACCTATTTGGACATGTACTACTAGTCTGTTTTTATGGTTCTACTTTTGGTAGGTTGGGGTATTTTTTTTTCCTTTTGCATGTAGACAAGTGCAAAGAATGAATTAAGCAGTTCCACTTTGTGGCTACTGCCATTCACTTCCTTGCCATCTTCTCCCATTGTCCCATCCCAGCTGATGATTCACCCGGTCTCTTCTTCCCTATGTCCAAAGCTTTCTGAAAGAATCCAACTACACAGCGGATTGGTTGATTTCAAAGACTTCTCCTTCCCCAGTGAACTTTCTTCAAGCTCAGAAACCCACTCTTAAGTATAGAAACTTTGGAAGAAGCACCTTTGATCAATTAATATGTATATTCCTACTGGACATCCAACACAAACATCCTTCTTAAATCATTCAGAATCTTCTTGTAAAGTTAGCAGTGACAAAGATCCTGTTGGGTACTAAGAAATACTCTGGTCCACATGGACTGCACATGAATTGCCTTGCCCAAGAGTTTCCACTCACCTGGCTTCACAGAATTTCTTGGTCAAACTGGGCCGGTTCTGATTCAGTCTATATCGGAACCACCTCTCTATCTGTCTTGGTTGGAGGTCGCACTGCTTGGCTAAGCTGCTGACTTCTTCCTGGATGGAAGGAGGCAGAACCAGGTGAGAAAATCTGCACAGGTGCTACAGGAGTCCATGACAAAAAATCATAGTGAGATAAGGAAAGATATAGTGAGAAATGATACGGGAGAGATGAAAGAAAAAAATTCAAAATACGGGTGAAAAACTTGAGAATTTCCAACAAATGATAACAAAAAAATTAGCAAAGAATCCAGAAAATGGAGGAAAAATCAGAACAAGTAGAGAAAAAAGTGAATGATATAAATTATAAATTGACACAAGCAGATAAAGAGCTAGAAAACACTGTGAAAATGTTGGAAACAAAAAAAAGACACTCATTACCTGAGATTCCAGAATATAGAAGAGGAGGAGGAGGAAGAAATGCAACAGGCCTCAGTTTTTAATTTTTCCTCAAATTCTCTTTGCTATGAATACACATGCAGGACACAGGGAGGGAGAGAAAAACAGAAAGGGGGGCCTCCACACTCCTGACCTTTCAGAAAAGTGTGAAGACCTGGCTCTACCAACTTGTATAGGGCTTACAGTGGGACATGCAAAGCTGGAAGTGATTAACACCTTAAAGGTGTTCACCTTTTCATTTTTACCTTATTCTATCTTTGTATTAGGCTCCTATTTTACTGATGTATTTTACTTTCATATGACGTTTATGTCAACTCGCATCCAGGCTGTGCGGGAACACAAAGCTGCGCTGCCCACATGGCCCATGGGAACCCTCCCACCCACTCACTCCTTACCTGGCAAACTTGCCTGCTATGTTGCTATTTTTCCTTTTTTTCCCCCGACCATCACCTGGTCTGCTGTGCCGGGAGATTTAGATTAGCTAAAAGGCAGGAAATTGTAGCATTTCTTGCTTTCTAGCTAATCTTTAGATCTTCAGTTCTGCTTTTAAGCAGAGCCGAACCTTCCTTAGGATTGGAGCTTCTATTATTCAGTGCAGGTAGCCGATAGCAGAAAAATAGATCTTTGAATGAATCTGTGATTCTGTGAGCAACTCAATCTGCCTGCCTGCTTTGCCTGATTTTGGGTAAAAGTTGCTCTTTTTTAATAAAAATTTCAATATTTACATAAATATTTATAATATTTACATACAAGCCATGCCCAGCCAGTCACATGACCACCAAGCCACACCCACAAATTAGGCCACGCCCACAGAACTAGTTGTTAAGAAATTTGAATCCCATCCCTGCCTTTGTGTGTTTGTGTGTATGTGTGTGTGTGTGAGGGAGAGGGGGGTGAGGGGAAGAGGGAGGGGGAGAGGAAGAGAGAGAGGTTAGATCAGATCTCTTTCTCTCTCTCCCACCAGTGTCAGCAAGCCACCATCAGTCAAAATTCATATTAGTGGTCCCCGGGATTTAAAATTTAAAAATTTGGTGCTCGATGAGATCCAAAAGTTTAGCGACCCCTCCTTTATTCTATCTTTGAATTAAGCTCCCATTTTACTGATGTATTTTACTTTCATATGATGTTTATGTCAATTCGCAAAACATTCCTGACCTGCTCTCGAGTTGCCATAGGCCAGGAGGTTGGGGAATCAAACCTCGCAGCTGCATCAAGGAACTTGCATTTCAGTCAAAACAAAACACATTCCAGCTAGCAATCTCAAGGTCATCTCCAAGGAGACCCACAGTGGCCAGATAGGAGTGACTTCCACAACCCACAATATTGCTTTGTTGGGGAATGTGATTGATGATGCATCTTTGGTGAAGAGGAAACAGGGTGAGAGCCAAAGTGCGAATTAAATTAGTTCAGAGTTGGCTTCATTTGGTCCATGCTGACATGAAGCTCCTAATACATAACTGGATTTCTTTTGAAGCTTGGCCTGAGGCTCATGATTTAATTAGGGCATCGGTCGGAACCCTGACAGTTTATCCTTTGAGCTACAAACTGCCCATTGTCCCTCTGAGAGCAAGATGAATGGATATCTACCTGCAAACCTGTAGAAAAGAAACTCACCTTTTGGGGATTTTTCCTCCATTTTGTGTAAAAAGCTTCCAGGATTGGGTTTGGAGAAGGTTTCCTCCTCACCTTTTCTTGCAAACCCAGTTTTTTGCTCAAGGGGATGGCAATTTTCCTGGAAAAGGCAACAGCTTCAGTCAGGCAAATGAACACTGGCTAAAAGTAAGGCTCTACACCAGGGATGTCAAACTTGTATTGACACACTGTCATCAGATAACATATCATAACTTTTTTACCCTAGGGGTGGCCAGCACATGATGCATCTGGCCCACGGGCTGAGAGTTTGACTCCCCTGTTCTATCCCTAGGCAGGAAAAACCAAATGTATAGGTACAGGCTCGGTGAAACTTGACTTAATGCCACTGATTGTGAGAGGGATTTTGGAGTCTTGGTGGACAATCACTTAAACATGATGCAATGGTGTACAGCAGCCAAAAAAGCCAATGCATTCCTAGGATGCATTAATAAAGGCACAGAATCTGTCGTGTCCGGCGCAGGAGGGAAGCTCGGAGTCAGTGACTGGTTTCAGCTCTTTATCGTGCTCCGGTTACAGCTTAAGCTTGGAGGGAAAAACTGCGGCTTTTTATTCCCAAGCCGCCGCGGCCGCGGCCAATGGCACCGCTTCGAATCTCCCGCGATTAGTTTCCACCAATCGCGGGGGATTCGTAACGGACCAATCAGTGCGGCTCGCTCGCCCAATCCGGTTGCTGCGCGCTTTAGCCAATCGCAGCGCAAGGCTTGCGAGTATGTAAATGACTGTACAGAACACCCCTCCCCTCTTGGTTCGGTCCTACGTAACGTAGTCCCGTAGGTAGGTGGGGCTTCGTACTTGCCTACTGGACCTGCGCAGGTTAGTTGTTGTTTGGTTCTCGGCCGGTTTGGTCGGGACCTCTGTTTCTCTTGGTCTCATCGATGGAACTGTCTGGAAGGTGTTGCCGGGCCTCTTGTTGCGGCTCCCTCCCGGTCTACTCGGGTTGGTCGAGCCGCGACTCTCGCTGCTCCCTCCTGGTCTGGTTGAGCTGGCCTGGCTGTTTCTCCCTGGTGAGGCTTTGAGTTGGCTGTTTGCTGGTGAGTATTGCTGGTTATTTTCTATTTCTTCTTGCTCCCCTGTGTATTCCCTCCCCTCTTGGTTTGTGTCAATGGGGTCGTCTGTGTTTGCTTGCGTGTCGGTTGTGTTTCTTATTCTTGATCTTAATTGATCGATGTGGCGTTTCCATGTTTGTCCGTCGGTTGTCTGCAGCCGGTAGGAGTGTGGTCCTGTCAGTTGGGTTATAGTCGCCAGTACCCATAGTGGGTCTCCGGTGAGCTTTTTGCATAGACTGCGTCGCCTGGTGCAAAAACCCAGTGCTTGCTGGATGAGTCTGGGGGTTTATCCGGGTTGTATGTGGGGTGTAGTCTGTCAAGTGGGGACCTTAGTTTCCTCCCCATCAGTAATTCTGCCGGGCTTTTGTTTGTTGTTGTGTTTGGGGTTATATGTTGTATTAGGAGCATTTTATTTATTTTTTCTTGTATGTCCCCGTGTTCGATTCTTTGGAGGGTTCTCTTTGTAAATTGAACCATCCGTTCCGCCCTACCGTTGGCCGCCGGATGTGCCGTCGCTGTCAGTGCGTGTCGTATGCCCCGTTCCGCTAGGAATTTTTCGAATTCCAGCGAGGTGAACTGGGGTCCGTTGTCTGACACGATGACATCCGGGAGGCCGTGGGTTGCGAAGAGCTTGTTGAGTACCTTGGTTACCGCTTCTGTTGTGGTGGTCTTCATGTTGCTTACCTCCAGCCAATTGGAGTAAGCATCCACCGTGATGAGGAATGTATTCCCTTTTGTGGGCCCGGCAAAGTCTATATGGAGTCTCGACCATGGCCCCCTGGGTGTTTCCCATTCTAATATTGGTGCTGCGGGGGGATTTGGTCTGGTTTCTTGGCAGCGCGAGCACTTGGCTACCCAAGCCTCGATCTCCTTGTCCATGCCTGGCCACCAAGCGTAACTTCTGGCCAAGGCTTTAGTCCTCACAATGCCCGGGTGCCCTTCGTGCAACAATTTTAATACTTTCCCTTGCAATTTTTCCGGTATAACCACCCTGTCCCCCCATAGCACGCAACCCTTCTGTAGTGACAGTTCTGTTTGCCAGTTTCGGAATGTCCTGAATGCTTCATCGTTGTCTTTCTCTGGCCATCCCTTTTCTACCCAATGTAATACCCGCGCCAGACGCTTGTCTTTATTAGTCTCTCGGGCAATGTCTGACACGGTTATGGGTAGGTCGGGCAATGTCTCTATGCTGAGGGTGGTCGTCGTGGGAGCTGGGTCATCGTCTAGGTCGGGAAGCGGCTCGCGGCTCAACGCGTCTGCATGGGTGATCGCCTTACCGGGTCTGTGTGTGAGACGGTAGTCGTAGGCGGCGAGGAACTCGGACCACCTTGTCATCCTGGGGGATAGGATGTTCGGGGTGGCCTTGTTCCCCGCCAGGATGCCCAGCAGTGGCTTGTGGTCCGTGATGATGGTGAATCGGTGGCCGTAGAGGTATTCGTGGAACTTCTTTACCGCTGCGACGATGGCCAGTGCCTCCTTGTCTAACTGGCTGTAGTTTCTTTCGGGTTTGCTGAGTGTTCTCGAAAAGAAAGCGATGGGTGCTTCTTTTCCGTCCGGTAGTGTATGGCTGAGGACGGCGCCAACGCCAAATGGTGAGGCGTCGCATGTGACGGCGAGGGGTAGGGTCTCATTATACTGAATGAGGACGGCATCCGAGGTGAGCAGGTCTTTGGTGTTCTTGAATGCGGTGTCCTCCCATTTCCCCCAGGTCCATTTGGCCGTCTTGTCCAGAAGCCTATGCAAGGGCTCCACTGCGGTCGCCTTTTGGGGCAAGAACACATTGTAAAAATTTAGCAGTCCCAGAAATGCCTGCAGCTCTGTTTTGTTCTTGGGTGTGGGGGCTTCCTTGATGGCTTTGATTTTGCTTCCGGTTGGGTGGATGCCATGTCGGTCTAGGAGGTACCCCAGGAACTCGACTTGCTCTGTGCATAGCTGGCATTTCTCTCTCTTCACTTTTAGGCCGGCCCTTTTGAATTTTTCTAGTACCTCCCTTAGGCGACCCTCTAATTCTTCCCGGTTGGCTGCTGACACTAATACATCGTCAAAATAGGGGACCACCCCTTTGATTCCTCGCAGCAGTCTCTCCATGAGGCTCTGGAAAATTCCTGGGGCCACGCTGACTCCAAACTGGAGTCGGTTACACCGAAACGCTCCCCGGTGGGTGACTATTGTTTGTGCCTCGGCGGTTTCTTCATCGACCGGCAGCTGTTGATAGGCTTGTGCCAGGTCGAGCTTCGCAAAGACCTTGCCCCCCCCAGCGAGTGTAGTAGGTGTTGCACTACTGGGACGGGGTAGGCGCTTTGTTGCAGGGCGCAATTGAGGGTGGCCTTATAGTCCCCGCAGATCCTTACTGACCCATCTGGCTTAACTGGGGTGACTATTGGGGTCTCCCACCGGGCATGGTCGATTGGTTGCAAAACCCCCTGTTTGACGAGCTTGTCAATCTGCTCGTCGATTTTTTTTCGGAGTGCAAAAGGCACCCATCTAGGTTTTAGGCGTATGGGGGCGACATTGGGGTCTAGGCTGAAAGAGATAGGGGGCCCTCGGTACTTGCCTAGGGTGCCGTCGAATACTTCTTGGAAGTCCCTTGCCAGTTGCTGCTCCCAGTTGGCCTCTGTGGTGTGGTTTATGCCCGTAACCTCGATGCCGAGTGGTGCGAACCATTGGAGTCCTAAGAGGCTGGGTCAGTTTCGGTCCACGATTGTCAGGGGAAGCTTCACGGTGCGGTCCTTGAAGGTCACCTCGAACTGTCTGGTCCCGATGACAGGGATGCGGTTCCCCTGGTAGTCTTTGATGACCAGCTTCTGGTTCTCCAGTCCTCTTTTCTGGATGGTTGGCACCAGTCGCTTGAGTTCTTTCCAGGCGACCATGGAGAGGTAGGATCCGAAGTCCACCTCCATCCGGCATGGTTCGCCCTCGATGCTCACCTCCACGTAGACCTTCCAGGCATCCGTGGTTTCGGCATGGCCGATGGTGACCGTCTGGTGGGTTTCCTCTCTCTGGCGGCCTTCCCCGTTTCATCGCCCCCGGTTGTCTCGGCTCCAGCGATTGTCGGCTTGGCGATCTCTGGTTCTCGGGGGGGGTGTCGTCTTGCCCCCGGTTGCTCGGGTCTTGGCGGCGGGGGCTGTGTGTTTTTCTGAGTCGGCAGACTCGGGCGATGTGGCCCTTCTTGTTGCAATGCCGGCAGATCACGTCGATGAACCGGCATTCTGATCGAAGGTGATTTCCCCCGCACCCGGCGCACTGGGGTCCCGACTTACGACCTCGTTGATCTCGTCGGTCCCGTCCTGCTTGGAGCCGATGGACGTCTTCCTCCTCTTCCGTGGTATCGGAGGCGGAGTCCAGGTCCCCGTGATGTGTGGTGGTCTCTCGTCGGCTTGCTTCGGGGGTTTCTGTGCGGTCGTTTTCTGCCCTCCGAAGCCTGGCGGCTGACTTTCGGGTGGCTTCGGCCGCGGAGGCTTCGGCCAGGGCATCGGCGAGATCGATGTCGCCCTTTGCCATCAGCCGGCTCTTCAGTGCCTGGTCCCTGAGGCCTAGGACCACGCGGTCTCGGAGGGCATCGTCCAAATCCCAGAACTCGCACATTCCCCCTAGGTCCTGCAGGGCGGCTATGAAGTCGCTGATGCTCTCGTCCTGCCGCTGGTTCCGCCGGTAGAATTTGTCCCGCCGGATGAGAATGGGCACGGCGGGGGCGTAGTGGTTCCGAAGTAGTGGCTCGAGATCGCCCCAGTCCATCGCCTTCACATCCGTGGGTTTCGCGAGAGCTTTGGCCATCTTGAACACTGCGGGCCCGCAGTGTGTGAGGAAGACGGCCCTCTTCTTCTGCCCGTTCGCATCCTTCAAGTTGCTACTTTCGAGGAACATCAGGAATCGATCCGTGTACGATTCCCAGTCCTCGGTAGCCGGGTTGAACGGGGCTGGCGGGGTCATGCTGGCCATCTAGTCGGTCTTTGTCTTCCTCGGGACACGTGCACGGTGGTTATTCTCTGAATCCCACCTTCGTCGCCAGTGTCGTGTCCGGCGCAGGAAGGAAGCTCGGAGTCAGTGACTGGTTTCAGCTCTTTATTGTGCTCTGGTTACAGCTTAAGCTTGGAGGGAAAAACTGCGGCTTTTTATTCCCAAGCCGCGGCGGCCGTGGCCAATGGCACCGCTTTGAATCTCCCGCGATTAGTTTCCACCAATCGCGGGGGATTCGTAACGGACCAATCAGTGCGGCTCGCTCGCCCAATCCGGTTGCTGCGCACTTTAGCCAATCGCAGCGCGGGGCTTGCGAGTATGTAAATGACTGTACAGAACAGAATCAAGATTACATAATATTCTAGCACTGCATTACAAAGCGTAAATTGGAATATTGCAGTTGGAATATTGCATCCAGTTCTGGTCACCACAATATAGAAAAGATGTTGAGGCTCTGGAAAGAGTGCAAAAAAAGCAACAAAAATGATTGGAGAGTTGGAGGCTAAAAGATATGAGGAACGGTTACAGGAATTGGATATGTCTAGTCTAATGAAAAGAAGGACTAGGGGAAACATGATAGCAGTCTTCCAATATTTGAGGGGCTGCCACAAAAAAGTGGGGGGGGATCAATCTATTCTGAAGGCAGGACAAGAAGCAATAGTTGGAAGCTAATCAAGGAAAAGAGCAACCTAGAATTAAGGAGAAATTTCCTGACAGAACAATTAACCCAATGGAACAACTTGCTTCCAGAAGTTGTGGTTGCTCTATCACTAGAGGCTTTCAAAAAGAGACTGGACAGTCATTTATCTGAAATGGTATTGGGTCTTCCGCTGAAACAAGGGGCTGTACTAGAAGACCTCCAAGCTCCCTTTCAACTCTATTATTCTCTGTTCTAAATTTAAAAGGTCCCTGGCTTTCTTGTTCCATGATCCATTCAATAACAGGCACATGAAACCTATGCAAAGAACGCAAGTCTGCCGAACATAACCTGCAATTTCAAAAAGTGGGGAAATCTAACAAACTAATAATAAAAATAGTTACACTGGAATGAAATAATTTTTAAATAATAGTGATTAGAATCACACTTGAAAAAACCCTATAATATTAAGATGCGGTAGCACAAATTCAACTTTTATCCTATTAAAATGGATAGATTAAATACTTGACAGAGAAGAAACACATCGCTCTGTGTTCTTCACTGTAAGGACATTAAGAAAATGGATAAAGAGCATAAATTCAGGAATGCATTATTTAATACCAGGGGGTGATTATTCCGAGGATGTAGATAAACCCCCAGGTGGCTACAATCACTCTCTGAGAGCTAACCACCATCTAGCAAGGCTGGGTGTGTCAAAGCATTTGCAGCTTGACTACCATTATGAGACAACCCAAGAGCAAAACATGTCACCAGAGACTTAGACATTTAACAGTGGTTTATATACAACAATTATGTACAGACATACACATGATAGGCAAAATACATTATAAGCAATCTTTCTTCTTCTTAACTCTACACAGAGAACTTCTGCAATGAATACTGGACACAAGGAGAGAGGACATGCCCCCTAATGGCTGCCTTTATATAAACACATCTTAAAGGGGTAGAACCCATCCACAGTCTTAAAGGAAATACCCATGCTATGCTGATTCATTCTTATTGCATCAGCCTATGTTGCATTAGCTTCATTGCTGGTCAGCTCTTAAATCCCAAGACCTTAACAGGATGAAATTGTGTTCTCCATCTCCTGTTCTGGAAGGCATTGCACGAATAACCTAAACAGAAATAGAGCCCAGTTTGGAGGGGGTTGCCATACTCCAAACAGAGCCAGGGTTTAATTTGGGGTGGGGGTCATCCTAGACTTATGGTTGCTGGTTGAAAAACAGGTAGCAGCCCAGCCCAGGAGGGCCTTTGCCATCCTTCATATTGGACCCCAATTGTGCCTCTGCTGGGACTAGGGAGCTAATACAAGCAAAAAGTAATGTCAGACGTATTAATGTCATATTCAACTTCCCTTGGTTCTCATATTTGTCAACCTTACAAATTCAGTACATCAAAAATGATTGCTAAGGGCAAAAGGGACATTCCATTGTTTCAAGTATTTGGGTAGAGGGGGAAGGAAAGGCCTCCCCAAATAGGTGGGGGAGGGTCCTTCTTCTTCTACCACTGCTTGGTTTTAGCTGAAAACACCAAATGCAAGAACTTGCCTATCAAACAAGAACCGGAGTGTGACCAGCAGGAGAGTGATGGGGAGGCTGAACAGGAGGTGATGAGGTTTGGGATAATGGACGTCCTCGGTGTCCTCCATGTCCTCCCAGGTGATCCCTGAAGGTAGCCAGTATTCCTGTCGCAAAAGCCACTGTGTGAGCTGAGCCATCTCCCTGGGAAGAAAGGCAGGGGGTGAGATGGGACACTGATGGAGTGTTTTCAGAAGGAGGGCCCGCTCTCAGCCCTCCCTACTGTAGAAAGTTAGCACCCACCCCCCTCCCAGAAGAATGAAATATTTTGGGTCCTATTAAAAAAGGCAGAATATTATATTTCCCTAAATGAGAAATGCAGAAACATGTTTTTTTAGAGGCAGAAAGCACCCCTTCTTTTCTTCATAGCCCACAGCAGATGCCAGCACTTAAGAGATAACAAGCTTATTGAAAGAAGACAGGTATGTAGATAGCTCTATTCATAAGCAAATAGCCCTCACTCAAGATCCAACACAAGGCAAAGCCATTAAGGCACAATAGGAATTGCCCAAGCCCCTTTCAACACAAGCCCTTTCATTGCATCACCAGTCCAAACTTCAACCAAATTTAGCTCAGACAAACACTTTGTCTGTACTTTGCCTATAGACCCAGGTATGACCCCTATATGACCCTTATATGGCACCATGGGAATCTGACAACAGCCAAGAGAATACATGTTGTTGCACAGGAAAGGAAGTTCAAGTGCAAGAGAAGCTATAAATACCCCTCCACTCTCAATTCCATATGGTCAGCTGCCGAGAACCTAGGTGGTTCTGTTCATCATTAAACCTTCTTTCCAATCAACCTCCATGTTTCCAATGTGTTTTTCCCAGCTTGGAACTGAACCAGATGGATATTTCTTCCCAAACTACTCCAGCAGCATTACTCCATTTCCTTCTTTTCCTGCTAGTGCAATGTTGTTAGGTCAAGTCAGGAAAGAGACAATTCAAGCATTATTGAAACACTCCTGTGGTTATGTATCTCATGCTTAGCTTACAACTTTGCCATCTAAAAATGTGGAAGCGAGAAGTAGGGTCAGTTACAGTAGATTTAATTCTTAACACTAGGGATGAAATGGACAAGGAGTGGGAGTTGTCTTTCAGAGCTACTGGAGGACAGAGGACCCACCAGAAGATTGGGAAAGAGCTGATGGGGTTCCACTTTTCAAAAAAGTGGAAAAAGTGGATCAAGGAAATTACAATCACCTTGATATCACCACCTGGGAAAATCCAGGAAAAGATCAACAAGCAATAGATTTCTAGATGAGCAGCTGGATGTGAACAAAGTGATTACTGGAAGCCACCATGGGTTTGATGAAAGTAGGTCACCCAAACAAACCTGATTGCTTATTTGACAAAATCAATGGAGTAAGGAAATGCTAAGGATATAGTATTGTTGGAAGAAATATCCACCTGGTTCAGTTCCAAGCTGGGAGAAAGACTCATAATTTTATCTCTTGACAAATCTCTTGGCTCAGAAATCATCTCTTGGCTCAGAAATTCAACATAACGCAACACAAGCAATAGAACATAATGATATCACAGTATTAGAATTTAAAAGAGCTGATTTTAGTAAATTCAGAGAGAACTTGGGAAAGACTCCTTGGAAGAAAATCCTAAAGGGGAAAACAATTCAAGAATCTTGGGAAACTTTGAAAAGTATGATCTTAAAAGCCCAGGCCAGCACAATACCACTGAGAAAGATGAACAAGAAACCCAAGAAGAAACCAGCATGGCTGCAAAAGATCTCTCTGACAAACTGAAAGACAAAAAGGACAAGTACAAAAAAATGGAAAGAGGGACACACAACTAAGGCAGAATATGGTCAGATAGCCAGAGCATGCTGAAGGCCAGACAAGGAATAATGGATGGAATCTGATCAAGGAGAGATTCAACCTGGATATACGGAGAAATTTTCTGATAGTGAGAGCAATCAACCAATGGAACCGAAGTTGCCTTTGGAAGTTCTGGGAACTTCATCACTGGAAGCTTTCAAGAGGAGATTGGACTGGCATTTGTCAGAAATGGTGCAGGGTCTCCTGCTTGGGGGGGGGGGGGTTTGGAGTAGATGACCTAAATCCCTTCCAACTCTGTTAATCTGTAATCTTTCAAGACACCATTTCTTACCCCAGCTGTCCTTCTGAAGTGCAGGAGTATTAGGAGGTGTATCTGGAGAATCTCTGGTTGACTGAGAGAACATCTCTGGGGTTTACATGGACCCCATAAGTTTGGCCAAATTTTTTGTTCAAAATCATGAGAAAAGCTTTGACTCCTTGCAGTGCAAGCAACCTCAGGACACAAAAGGGATGGAGCATGGATTGCAACAGGGCACAAGGCTTGTTTATTACCTGCCCTGTCATCTTACATATTCAGGAAGACCACATCCCCAGGTCTATAGAGATTCTCAGTCCTCCAGGTCATGGTTGTCCCAACTCCAGAGGTAACTGGACTTTCTGGGTTTTCTCTGAAGGCGTTTCACTTCTCATCCAATACGTTTCTTGGACGAGAAGCGAAAAGTCTTCAAAGGAAAATTTCAGTTGCCTCTGCAAAAACCACCTTTGGAACCGCATCCCCATGTTAAAACATTGAATTTTGCTGCCACAGCTGAACCAAATGGACTTTTTTTTTCCCCATTCCTTTTTTTGGGAATTGGGGAAACGGTCCGGCAAGTTCTTGTACTAATAATGTTTGGTCTCGCGGCGAAAGCTCTGAAACAGGATTTCTTCAAGGGATGGAGAACGTGGCTACCGAATCGTCCTTTCACTGGATTCACACGGGAACCCAGAACCCGAAGGAAACTCCCTCTCCGGAGCGACCCCACAACAGGAGCCCGAATCGGGAAAGAGAAAGGAAACTCCGCCGGGGAAAGCGACGCCCCCCTCCGTCTCGTAGCCGCTTCTGCTCGGGCTGGTTGGGCGAACTCAGGACTGGGGTCTCTTCTCTCCTCCACCCCTCCAACAAACAGCGTTGATGCCCCGCTCCCCGGAAAGTACGCCCAGCGCTTACTCCAACCCCCTTTTGGGTGCCCAGACTGATGCTCTCCAGAGTTCCTAAATACCGCCCCCCCCCCGCGCCCCGCCCGTCTTCTCCGTCCCAACGCCAGACCTGTTGCAGTTGCTGCTGCTGCCGCCGCCGCCACCGCCTGGGTCTTGGATCGCCCTTTGGCCAGCTCCGATCCGGGAGGGAGACGGGCGTCCTTGGGTGGGCGGGGTTCAGAGTCCATTTGGTTCAGCTGTGGCAGCAAAATTCAATGTTTTAACATGGGGATGCGGTTCCAAAGGTGGTTTTTGCAGAGGCAACTGAAATTTCTGGTTTTTCTTTGAAGAGATTTTGCTTCTCGTCCAAGAAACTTCTTGGGTGAGAAGTGAAACGCCTTCAGAGAAAAACCAGAAAGCCCAGTTACCTGTGGAGTTGGGACAACCATGACCTGGAGGCAAATTCTGTTCCAGAGAGAGAATATGAGAATGAGAAAGAATAAGTGTGTGTGTGTGTGTGTGAGAGAGAGAGAGAGAGAGAGAACTGCAAATATGACCACCTCATTCTGTGCTTGCAAAATCAGAAAGCCACACAATGTTCTATACACAATGTGCAGAAATAGGCTGCTTGAGAACAGCAAAGGATAACAGAATAACAGAGTTGAAAAGGACCTTGGAGGTCTTCTAGTCCAACCCCATGCCCAAGCAGGAGACCCCACACCATTTCTGACAGAAAGCCAGTTCATTCTCTTCTTGAAAGCTTCCAGCGATGAAGCTCCCACAACTTCTGAAGGCAGGCTGTTCTATGGGTTGATTGGTCTCACTGTCAGAAAACTTCTCCATATGTCCAGGTTGAATCTCTCCTTGATCAGATTCCATCCTTGTCTGGTCTTCAGCATGCTCTGGCTATCTGATGATATTCTGCCTTAGTTGTGTGTCCCTCTTTCCATTTTTTGTACTTGTCCTTTTTGTCTTTCAATTTGTCAGAGAAATCTTTGTGCAGCCATGCTGGTTTCTTCTTGGTTTTCTTTCTCAGTGGTATTGTGCTGATTTGGGAGAATGAAGAGTTCTGGGATTTACAGTTCTCTGTCTCTCTCTGTGTGTGTCTGTCTCTCTGTATCTCTCTCTCTCTCTCTCATTGTCTCTCTCATTTTCTCTCACAGACTTATTCTTTCTCATTCTCTCTCTCATTCTCTGTCTCTGGAACAGACGTTGCCTTCAGAAGTTGTGGGAGCTCATCACTGGAAGTTTTCAAGAAGAGATTGGACTGCCATTTGTCAGAAATGATGTAGGGTCTCCTGCTTGGGTGGGAGGTTGGACTAGATGACCTACTAGGTCCCTTCCAACTCTTTTATTCTATAATCTTTCAAGACGCCATTAGTTACCCCAGCTGTCCTTCCGAAATGCAGGAGTATTAGGAGGTGTATCTGGAGACTGAGAGAACATCTCTGCGATTTACATGGACCCCATAAGTTTGGCCAAACATTTTGTTCAAAATCATGAGAAAAGCTTTGGCACCTTGCAGTGCAAACAACCTCAGGACACAAAAGGGACGGAGCATGGATTGCAACAGGGTTGCTTGTTTGTCACCTGCCCTGTCACACCTACATATTCAGGAAGATCACATCTCCATATCTATAGAGATTCTCAGTCCTCCAGGTCAAGGTTGGTGCATAAGCGCACCAACATGCCTACCGTCCCTGTCCTATTTTTTCTTTTATATTTTTTAAATTTTTCTTATATGTATCCATGTATTCATAACTATGTTTTTACTTATACCTATTACTTTGTAAGCAATTGACAAACCAAATAAATAAATAAATAAAACTCCAGAGGTAACTGGACTTTCTGGCTTTTCTCTGAAGGCGTTTCACATCTCATCCAATAAGTTTCTTGGACGAGAAGCTAAAAGTCTTCAAAGGAAAATTTCAGTTGCCTCTGCAAAAACCACCTCTGGAACCGCATCCCCATGTTAAAACATTGAATTTTGCTGCCACAGCTGAACCAAATGGACTCCCCCCCCCCCCATGTAGAGTTGTAATTGCAGGAATGTTCCTATCTGATGGCAAACCTCAGAGAAAAGAATGCTTCCAAGCAAATACAACTCAGGCAAATAAAGTTACTCATCTAAAGGAGGATTAGAGAGAGGAAGTAAACATATGTTGGACTTTGACTAGAGATCATTAGTTGTGTTAGTTACTATGCTGAACAATAACGAAAGTCAAGCAGAAACCAAAGTTAACCAATGTTAGAGGATTACTAAAAATGTGTATAAATGCAAGACTAGATTCCAATAAAGATCATCATGAATCAGTTGATCATGATCAAACACCTCGACTGCCTCGTCATTACAACACCCCCATTCCTTTTTTTGGGAATTGGGGAAACGGTCCAGCAAGTTCTTGCACTAACAATGTTTGGTCCAGTGGCGAACGCTCTGAAACGGGATTTCTGCAAGGGATGGAGAACGTGGCTACCAAATTGTCCTTTCTCTGGATTCACGCGAGAACCCAGAACCCGAAGGAAACACCCCCTCCGGAGCGACCCACAACAGGAGCCCGAATCGGGAAAGAGAAAGGAAACTCCTCCGGGGAAAGCGACGCCCCCCTCCGTCTAGTAGCCGCTTCTGATCGGGCTGGTTGGGCGAACTCAGGACGGGGGTCTCTTCTCTCCCCCACCCCTCCAACAAACAGCGTTGATGCCCCGCTCCCGGGAAAGTACGCCCAGCGCTTACTCCAACCCCCTTTTGGGTGCCCGGACTGATGGTCTCCAGGGTTCCTCCCCCGCCCCGCCCATCTTCTCGGTCTCAACGCAGACCTGTTGCCGTTGCCGTTGCCGTAGCTGCTGCCACTGCCGCCGCTGCCTGGGTCTTGGATCACTCTTTGGCCAGCTCTGATCCGGGAGGGAGACGGGCGTCCTTGGGTGGGCGGGGTTCAGGGTGGACGCCTTCCCTGAATGTGGACGAAATGCCAAGGAGCCTCTCCGGGCAGGAGCACGCGGGGCCACTCGCTGCCTCTGGGACGGAGCGGAGGTTTTCCCATCTCTCCTTCTTGGAGTAGTTCAGGCGATTGTAAAGGGAGAGGTGAGATGGGGAATGAGAGAGAGATTGAAAGGATGAGACAGAGAAGTAGAAAGAAAGAGGGGGCAATGAGAGAGAGAGAAAATGAGAGAGAATGAGAAGGAATAAGTGTGTGTGTGTGTGAGATAGAGAGAGGGAGAGAGAGAGAGAGAGAGACTTTGTACTTTTCTTTTCAAATGGATTTCATCACTTGGAAACCTGACCTTCATTGAATCAGCAGACCAAGCTTTAACCAAGCTTTTCTCAGACAACCTACAGAGCCAGCTATGACCCCTACATCATTATGCCATCTTTCCAATCATCCTCCATGTTTCTAGTGTCTTTCTCCCAGCTTGGAACTGAACCAGGTGGATATTCCTTCCAACAATACTGTATCCTTAGTGTTATAGAGCGGGCGGCAGATACTGAGACGGACACAGGCTTGACTTTTTAAAAGGCTTTATTCACTAGAATAAAGGGTTGCCGCGGCTGCCGAGGCTAACTGGCAGTCAGCTGGCGGCAACAGCTGATGCCGTTTGACAGCTCCTTTTATAGCCGGCTGTCAAACGGCATCAGCCAATGGGACCGGTCGGCGCTCCCGCCCATGCGGTAGACCTGAGCGAAGACCGCTGTCAGACTCTGAACACAACACTCCTTTCCCCTGGCCAGGAGCATGTGTAGTCCTGCAGCCGGATAGGCTGCCTTCGCTCGTGGCCTGATCGCCGCAGTCCTAGGGACTCGCTCGCTTGCGAAGAGTCTCTGGCCTCCAGGGTTTCGCTTGGAGCTCGACGTCAGTGTTAGGGATAACATTGGTTACCTAACTTAGTTTGGATAAAAATAATATATATAAACTATGTTAGTGAGTTTAAGTGTATGTATCACTTTAAACTGTAAACCAAGTTTTTGGGTGCGGTTGTAAAATCACCATAATAGGGAGCAAGAGAGCTCACTGTTTGCCTCGGCTTTACTGGAATGCTGACAATGATGGCTTGATGGTGATAACTGCATGTTTGCTGAGAGAAGAAAAGGGGTTTGATTTTTCTTCATATCTCTGACTGCAAAAGAGATATATCACTGGACTGATTGATTGTAAGTTTACTGACCTCTTCTTCGACACTGGACTTTGCAAACTGAATAACCCCCGGACTGAACTTAGTGTATGACATATGGACTGTTTTGACTATGCTATAACTCTTGCTGGAATAAAAACTATTTAACTTGCACAGTGTATCTGTCTTACTGAGTTTAAGCTACTACAACGTTATTATCTCACATATCTGCCTGTCTGCTAGACTGCCGTTGCACGTTCTGCTAGGGTGTATATCCCTAACACTGGTTATGGGCCCAGGTGCACAGTCAGACTAACCAGGATATACACAGGCTTGTGAGTGAGAGTTTGTGTAGTTACACAATACTGTAAACAGACAGCTGTGTTTTATTAATTATAGTTTAATATCCAGATAAAGATGGCAGAAGTCAATTTACAAAGTTTGTCTCTAATATCCAAACTGGATGGAACAAACTATGTTTCATGGTCTATGAAATGCAGCCTACTTCTACGCAGAGAAGGTTTGTGGAGTATAATACAAAACCCACCAGAGGTAGATGCATGTATTAATCTTACACAGAAACTGTTTAGAACACATCTTCAAAAGAATGGAGACATGCTGAGTCATATAAACTCTATGAAGAGAATTTTTCAAGAACTGCATGAAAAGGAACTTATCTTCACTGAATTACACCAAGTTTATATTATTTTGTCTTTTCTGGATGAGAGCTACGATGATTTCGTAACTTCACTTGAAGTTCTGCCAAAAGATAACCTTACATTAACTGACATTACTGGCAGATTAATTGAAGAAGCCAGGAGAAGGCTTGAAAGGGATCAACTCAGAAGGGAAAAACAACCACAATGTGAAGAAGAGAAAATATCTTTGTCAGCGTATACAATTAGAAAATGTTTTAATTGTGGAGGAAAAGGACATTTGGCTAGATTCTGCAAGAAAGGAAAAAGCCAAAAAGCAAATAGACTGGTTCGCTCGGTGGGTAGGCTTCAGCATGCGGCTGGTAGACCGGTACGTCTGGCGGGTAGGCTTCAGTATGCAGCTGATAGACCGGTGCGTCTGGCGGCCCCTGGGAGTCAACAGCAGCTCCTTTCCAATGCCTCCTTAACTGGTCGATGTGCCGGCACCATACTCGACCATCCTCCAGGAGGATCCTATAGGACTTGGGCCCTGTAATCGAGACTATTTGCCCTGGCATCCATAGAGGGTGCCCTGCATAATTCCTGGCATAAACCAGGTCTTGCAGGGTGAATTCCCTGGTATGGCTGTCAGAGCCTAGAGGGGTGCCAGGGGCATAATGGGGGGTGCAACCTGTCCAGGGTGGTCCTAAGGCATCTGCCCATCAATAGTTCTGCAGGGGACTTGGTGGTGGTGGTGCATGGAGTAGAGTGCTGGGTGAGCAAGTAAGTGGACAGTTTGGAGTGCCAATCTGCTTGGCCAAACTTTGCCAAGGCTTCCTTTACCGACCTAACAGCCCTCTCAGCCATCCCATTGCTTGCAGAGTGAAAAGGGGCTGTGAGGGCGTGCCTTATGCCCAGGTTGGCTGCGAACACTTCAAACTCACAAGAGGTGAACTGGGGGCCATTATCTGATATCAAGGTGTCAGGGAGGCCATGCGTGACAAACAGTCTGGTCAGGGCTCTTGTGACAGTCAGTGTAGTTGTTGAGGGAAGCAAGGCTACATCAATCCATTTAGAGAACGAGTCTACTATGACCAAAAAGGTCCTCCCATGCACTGGGCCAGACAGGTCAATATGCAGCCGGGACCAAGGGGCCACAGCGTTCTCCCACCAGGTTGGGGGAGCTGCTGGTGGTGCTGACCTAGTTGCCTGGCATGGCTGGCACGTGCTTACCCAGTGTCAGTGTGTGCTCCCTTCAAAATCCAAGAAAGAAATACTCAGACTCCATGGGTTAGAGCAAAGTTATCCTTTTACTGGAAAGCAAAGTGGAAGCTACAGATTTAATTCTGAATCTGAGGAATTGGCGCGCAGATCACATATACAAAGGAATGGAATTGTTCCCACCCCCCAAAGTCCAAATGACTCTTCCAATTAAAAGTTCTGAATATGATCATGTGGCCATCTTCAGGTGGTGATGAGGCCTCTGTCCGTTGACCTTGACATATTTTGATAAAACTTCGCAGCTGTGCAAAAGGGGATAGAAGCTAGCCAAGAAATGGAAAGTTAAAGACAAGAATTCATATACCCCCTCCCCTTGCTACCCACAGCAAAGGAATGCAAAACACCTCCAGTTCTCTTCCCCTCCAAGTTCCCCCCTCCCCCCGTTGCTAAT